TACTGTTGCAGAAGGTTATTAGTCAGGAAACTTCATGGATAGATACGCCTAGTCTAGTAAACTGATATTCCATGTCAATTATCTCTGTGAGTTTTGGTATATTCTGTATTTCAAATAGTCTTTTTAATGTAGATTATCAAAGGTTGCGGGCATTGAGTTCTTGATTACCCTTCCAATGTCTATGGGGTCTGGAGTCACCTGCATCTCTCTTCAATGTTTGATGTAGTAGTCTGTGTCTTGGACTAGCTCTTAGTTTATCACCTTCTATTCACTTTTTCAGAACATGAACTTTTGATTTTATTATTTTGTCTTTATTGATCTTTTAGTCTCAGTTCCATTGAGTTATGCTTTGACACTTTGTTATACTTAGGTTGAATTTAGTTTTTTTACATATATGTAACTTAAATTTGTGTTCTCCATATACAAGACATGTGGTATCTGCCTTTTTGATACTGATTTGTTTAGATTAGCATAATGATTTATAACTGTCTCTGTTTTTCTGTAAATTTCAATTTTCTGACTGTCTAAAATTTCAGGGTGTGTACGTGTGTACGTGTGTATGTATGTGTGTGTGATTTTATTCCTCTGTTGATTAAACGTCTAAGCAGGTTCCAGTCCTAAGCTGTTGCAAATATACAGCAGTAAACATGGCTATTCCAGTATCTTCACCATATGCTGACTGAGATTTCTTGTGCTTTCTTTGTGTATACACCCAGGAATGGGATAGCTGGACCATATGGTAATTCTATTTTTCTTGCTGTTTCTAAGAAACTCTATGATAAATTCCATAGTGGCTGCACAGTTTTACGCTCCCAGCAGTTTTGAGTGGTAGCTTCTCCTTCCCCCAGCTTCATTAGCATGTGCTATCACTTGTTTACTTGATAGCCACCGTGCTGATTGTGACATGAAATCTCAAAGTTCTTTTTGTTTCCATTTCCCTGGTAGCTAAAGATGTTAAACATCTTTCTGAGCACTTATCGATCACATGTGCTTCTTCTTTTGAGAGATGCCTACAGACAAACCAGCTGTTTGCTGGTCAGATGATTTGGGGGTATTGCTATATAATTGTTGTGATTCCTTATAGTAACATCTTGCTTAATGTGTAGCCAGTAATATTTTTTTCCATTTTATAGTCTGTCTCTTGACTCCTAGAATTGTTTCCTTTGCTATGCTGAAGCATCATAATTTCATGTAACCCAATTTTTCAGTTTTTATTATTGTTATTATTTCTTGTGCTACTAGAGACAGAAAGTTCTTGTCTATAGCCTATCATTTAGGGAGACTGTCCTTCTGGAAGGTGAATGCCACAAGTATTTCTCAGCTCTCCCTAACTATTTCCTGGAACTAATGAGTGGAACTAACAGAAGTTGTTCATCCCCTCCCTATCACTCAGTTAGGCACTTGGCTTTTCCTCATGGCCAACTGTAGGAGGAGGTTGCTTGTTCTCCCGGCTGCCCAGAACCAAAATAACCACACAGAAACTGTATTATTTAAATCACTGCTTGGCCCATTAGCTCTAGCTTCTTATTGGCTAACTCTTACATATTAATTTAACCCATCTTCATTAATCTGGGCATCACCACAAGGTCATGGCTTACCAGCAAAGTTTCAGCACATCTGTCTCTGGTAGCGGCTCCATGGCTTCCCTCTGACCCCGCCCTTTTATTGTCAAGCATTCAGCCTAGCTTTCCCTGCCTACCTAAGTTCTGCCTTGCTATAGGTCCAAAGTAGTTTCTTTATTCATTAATGGTAATCACCAGAGGGGACTCCCACATTAGCCAACCTTGTTCAAACAACAACAACAGCAGCAACAACAAACAAACAAAACAAAACATGTTTGAGCTCTCTCTCACTCCCTATCTGAAACTGCTGGATCTCCTGGTTTTTTTTTTTTTCTCTACAATGATGCTCTGAGCAGCCAGGCCTTCCCACCCATAATGGGTCCTTGGACTTTCCAGTACATTCCATACCTCTGCTTTGTGCATTTGGAGTTTGGCCCAGGGACCTGCGTTCAGTTACATGTCTAAAAAGAGTTGAGGGTTTTATTATTTATTTATTTAAGTTTGTGAAGTTTTTCACTTGTTAGAATAGAACCACAACATGGAAGGCAGGGAGAGCATTTTCCCCCCAGTTTTATAAACAATGATTTTTTAAAAAATTAAAAGAGTATTATATCTATAGAGAATAGAAATAGCTTAGAAAACTGTCTTATGTTGGTCCATTGCCTCCTAAAGTTAATATTTCATATAAACTTGGTACATTTATCAAAACTAGATAATTACCATTGACCATTACCCCCCCCCTTCTCTCTCTCTCTGTTCTTTTGGTTTGGTTTGGTTTCTCTGTGCAGCTCTGGCTGTCCTGGAACTCACTCTGTAGACAAGGGTGGCCTTGAACTCACAGAGATCTACCTGCCTCTGCCTCCCAAGTGCTGGGAACTCTATGAGCAACAGCTATGTCAGTTCCCCACCTCAGCTTCTCCAGGCCTGGCAGAGGGCCCAAGCCACAGTAGGTCCACAGGATGCATTTTAAAATGAGTAGTTGGGTTAATACATGTCCAGCATTTAAAAATCTTCTTTCTTTTTTCTTTTTTTCTTTTTTTCTCCTTCGAGACGGGGTTTCTCTGTTTTGGAGCCTGTCCTGGAACTAGCTCTTGTAGACCAGGTTGGCCTCAAACTCACAGAGATCTGCCAGCCCCTGCCTCCCAGGTGCTGGTATTAAAAGCGTGTGCCACCACCATGCGGCAAAAATCTCATTTCTTCATAAACATTGGGGAAAAAAAAAAAAAAAACACCTGCCCCCGAAGTATCTGGGATTCCAAGCAACAGGGCTCCGATCTGCTTGAGTGTTTGATCTATTTAAATGGAGCTGCTCTTATTTTGCAAGCATCTTCAGGGACAGTGTGCAAGGGCTGTTGCCCAGAGGAGGCCTGAGGCCCTATGTACTAAAGTCAAAGCATTTCCCGGTGGTGCCAAGCCAGGCAGGGAAAAGCGTTACTGTGATGCTATTAATTATTGCTCTATCCAGGCTGCTCCAAGTTTGATACTAATTGCTCAGTGAACAAATTGCAGATTCAGGTAATCACCAAACCTAATGTGGCTCCTGTCATGTTTGAATAAATTAATACAGAGCAGACAGCTGTTTCTAGGCTGCTTGAGAAGCAGCAATGACTTTTCCCAGGTCATGAATCTCAGCAGATGCAACCACCCCCTTGCAGGGGTTGGTGTCTCCCAGGTCAGCCTGGCAGTTAGGTCTCACACCAGAGCTTGGAGGCCTTGGGCATGCTGAGGGATGACGACCCCTCCCTAGGTGTGCCATCTCATCTGGTGTGCCATCTTGAAAGTTTCCTTCATCCCTGTGATCTGTTAGCAGCAGGCAACACACGCGTCAGTTCCTCGGGAATGGGATTCTGCACTAAACCAGGAATTAAGTGCTGGGTTCAACTGGTTCAAGTCCTGCTCTTAGACGTCTTATAACCAGGTTATTGCTGTTGCTTATTATTCAATATCTGGCTGTCATTAACAAGAGTTTGATCGTAATTTTCTCATTTAATGGGCACAACTTTCCAGGAACCTCAGAACAATTCACACAACAAATGAGAGGCAGAGTTAGGGTTTGGACCCAAGCATTCTGCCTCAAGATTTCTTAACTACCCCTACATATACTTCTTATTCCTAACTATTCCATCCCACTTCAGCCTTAGGAAAGTCACATCTTCTAAGCTTGATTTTATTCACGTGTGAAGATTCTGCCACCCACTATGTGCCCAGCTGCTTGACAGATGTGAATTTGACCCTTACCTCAAAGGTGTCAGGTACACAGGAATAGCTGGCTTGGTCAGCTTATACAACTAGCTGATGGAGAGTTCGATTTTCTCTCAATACTTGTTCAATCTGAGGAGGTATGGATGCTCACAGGTATGCCTGCAGGCAGCTGGGGTTTGGGCCTTCTAAGTCTGGCAGGCAAAGAAAGCATGCCACCTCCTTAGCAATTAGCAACAGTCGGTTCAGTTCTGGAAGGCAGCGAACATCTGTGGTCACAGCCTATTGTTTTAGGACTCCTAGGACTCTGTGGCTAACAACTCCGAAGGAGGTAACCTACTCGTAGCACTGGGATCCCCAACTTCATAACTTTTATGAGCATCTGTTTACAGACAGGCAGACAGACAGACACACACACACACTCACACACTCAAACACACATAAACACTCACACACACTCACACTCTCATACATTTACACACACACACTCGCTCTCACACACACAAACACACACGATCCTCCTTCACACCATGTGCAGGGTAGTCAGTTGGTATGGAGGCAGTTGAATACTCAGGAGGGGGTGTAAACTGTAAACAATCCCAGATGGGATTTTTTTTTCCCCAGAGAGTACAGATGAATGCCCCAAGATGGCAGCTGCTTGGTTTGAAGGACAGTCCCTCAGAACACGAGTTGTGTGCATCTTCCCTCCTCAATCAAGGTCACAGGGTGTAGTCTGGGATCAGAAACCACAACAGATAGTTGATTAACATTTTAGCATGGGCACCAGAAAGCTACTGTAAGGGCTTATTCAGGTCTAGTTTGTGACTGTCCGCAGGTTTATTCTGACAAGGGGCACAGGAACTGCTTTGGAAAAAGGAATCCGGGTCCTTGCCCCAGCTCTATCATTTGCTCTCTGTGGAACCTAGGGCTCTCTCCCCTAGGATGCTATTCCCCTAGGATGCTATTCCCGTAGGATGCCATTCCCCTAGGATGCCATTCCCCTAGGATGCCATTCCCCTAGGATGCCATTCCCCTAGGATGTCATTTCCCCGCCTTTAACTTAGACAATCTAGATGGGTGCTTTGGTTTTCCCTCTCTGTGTAGATTCATCCCATTCCATCCCCGCCTCTTTATTCCTCAAATGCATTCATAAAAGGGTCTGGAGAGGTGACAGGGTGCCTCTGATCCCTTTGAAGGATGCCTGCTGAAACTCTTCTGCTTTCTCGCCTTCCTCCTTAGGTACACCGTTTTGCACAGTAGACATCACCAGGAACTGGAGAAACTGCCCATCCACAATGACCCAGAGTCCCTGGAGTCATGCTTTTGATGGACGACATGGCTTGCCATCAGGCTAGCCATTCCCATTCATGTCTGCATGAACAGGACCCCCTGGACACACTCTTGACCCTGGTCATCACCAGTGACGCATGAAGTATGGGGTACCAGGGCCCAGTGAAGATACACGGAAGGTGGTGTTGAGTGGAACCTGGATCCAGCACGTCAAGGACTTCCGAATTGTGTGGGGACTTCAGGCATCGTCAGACCCAGAGTCGTACCAGAGTCCGAGGGGCAGCTTTCATTGCATACTGACATGAGGACAGTCTCTGCTCGCACCTCTCCAGGGACAGGAGCTCACTACCTCCTAACGCAGCCCCTTCTGTGGTGGGAATGCTCTAATCATGTGGAAGCTCTGTCGTTCATTGGCACACGAGTCTGCTGTGCTCTAGCTTCTGTCAGGACAGAGCGGTTCGATCTCCTCTTCCTGTCAGAAAGCCTTAGATATTGGAAAGAAATGACCCACCTCCCCCCACCCACCCCTTAGTCTTCTCTCTCAGTGAAACACCTTCAGTTCCCTCTTCTTTCCAGCAGTCTTCTGGACCGCTTTGCTGGGTCCAGATGTCTGTCCAGAAGCACTGAAGTACTGACATGAAGGGCGTCAGCAAGTTTGGTTTACAGCTACAAACATTTTCTTTTCCTTCCTTCTTTCCTCTCTCCCTCCCTCCCTCCCTCCCTTCCTCCCTCCCTCCCTTATTTCTTATCATAGCATACTACTTGAGGTAATAGTCCCCCCCCCAGGACAGATTTTAAAGACTCTGCTTACAGTTTGCCTTTGGATCCATTACCAAAGGACCTCTATACAGCTTGTGTGTGTGTGTGCGTGCGCGCATGCCCATACATGTACATGTGTGTAAACTTGTCATTTTCGCACTGGGTTCATCTGGAATGAATCTTTGTTTGCTTCCCTTCCATGACATTGAACCTGGACCCTTATTGCTATAGATGCTGACAAGGAACCGTCACAACTCAAAAACTGAGGGGTGGGAGTAGGGGACTGGAAAGATGGCTCGGTTTTTAGGAGAACAACACTTGATACTCTGGCAGAAAACCCAAGTTTAGTGCCCAGCATCTACATAGTGGCTCATAACCATATGTTACTCCAGTTCCAGGGAATCTGACACCACTCCTGACTGCCACAGGCTCCTGCACACACATGGTACACAGACATACACTCAAGCACATTCAGCCCCTCCCCTTGCCCAACACAGTCACACACTCTAAGACAAACTAAAAAAAAAAAAAAAAAAAAAAAAAAAAAAAAAAAAAAAAAAAACCAACAACAACAAACATTAAGGAAGGAAAGTGACTTGCTCCCATGGAGACTGTCTTTTAACGATGGTCAGGGTCCTGTGTTGAACAACCTAATAGTCTAGTCCTAGGCCACTTTCCGCTTTGAGCAAAGAACAAACCCATCTTTCTGTCATTGAACCCTAGCTTTGCTTCCATCTTACAGACATTTTGCAGAATGCTGTTTGTTCTAAACCCAAAAGATATTTTCTCTCCCATGCTAAATCTGTCATCACCTTCTTTGTCTTGGGTAAGTTATGTCTTTGAGAGAGAGAGAAGACTTGAAGCTCACAAGAGTTTTTCTTTTCTTTTTTTTTTTTTTTCTGCTGACAAGGACCAGTTTGATTTACTGCTGGTGAAACTCGGGGAATGGGGAAGGTGGGCATGGCCTGGCATCCTTAGGTGGCACACTTTAAGATCAGGATGTGTCCGGAGCCTCAACCAAAAGTTCTCCTTGCCCTGTTCTAACCCCTCATTCTTTCTCCCTCTTCTCTTTCCCACTCTTCCACCATTCTCACTTCTTTCTCCCCTTATACTTTTTTGAGACAGGGTTTGGCATTGCCCAGGCTGGCTTCAAATTCACTGTGTAGCTGAGGCTGAACTGAACTCCGGCTCCCCCTACCTCCATCTTCCAAGTGTTGGGGCCACAGGTCTCAGTCATCATATCAAGTTTTCCTTGCCTTTCTATTTCCTGTGCCGTTCCTTCTTCCCCTGTGATGACAGGTCACAATGGCATCTTTGTCTCTGAGAAGGATGGTCATCCCCTACAAAGCAATGAAGTTAAACCCTTTAGATAGAGATCTGAGTCCCTTTCTCTCTTTACAAAACAAAACAAAACAAAAAAACTGAAGAAAGGAACTAGGGACAAGATGACCTGGTGATAGACCAAATGCGAATCCATGGGACAAGACTGGATTCATTCTATTACAGCATTAGTTCCATCCATGGCTTCCAGGAATCCAGACAATCCAGACAGCTTGAGGAAGACGCAGAAGACATACAGCAGCCCAGGCTTCAAGGAGACCCAAACCTGTCCTCTTCCTAAAAAGTCCTCTTTCAGGAAGGCTGCTGTTAAGATGAGATAGGAAAGAGGAGGCTGTGGTCCAGTTACTCTGGCCAGATGAACACTGGCAACTACTTGGATGTTTAATGAAGTCTGTCTCCATGGCAGGGATAAAGGGGTTGATTCACTGTGTTTCTCTCCATTTGACTTTGCAGTCCAAAGAAATGCCCAGTTCTGAAGATCCCAGCCCATTTTGCTGGGAGTCAGAATGATCCAAGGCTCAGAGATCCGGATGAAAGGAAAAAGGGCATGTTAGTTTTTTTCTTTGCCCAGGAGCAGACTTGGCAAGGCCCAGTCTGAGGCCCGGGCCTTGAAGGAGTTAAGGCTTCAGTTCCTGGGAAACCAGTTTCCCCTCTGAAGGGCTGTGGTTATCAGTCCTAAGGCAGCTGCAGCTGCGATAGCCTGTGTTTTCTCATCAGCATTGACTGATTTAGCTGTCTGTCGACCTTGACCATTCTCCCTCAGAAAATAGGATACAAAAGATGCTTTACTTCTTAAATAAGCTTGCTTGGCGTAAGACACAGCTTGTGCAAATCTTCTCAGTCCTGGTTTTCCTAGCTTCTCTTCTGGCCTTCCGACTTAGAAGGCTGTCACTGAAGAACAACCTGCTGGTCCAGGTCACCAGCCCTCTCCATTAGCAACTAGAAAGTAAAAGAAATAAAACCTACAATGTATTGGTTAAAACAAATGAACAAAACCAACTTTCAGATTTCAGCTTCGCCTCTCAGTAACATTTCCACTTCCTGCTTGCTCTGCCCTGAAACAACTGTCTGGGAAATGGGGTAGGGCAGGGGCATTGTGGGTAGGTGAGGGAGGGGACTCAGTGAGAGACCAGAGAGCGGCAACAACCAAATTATCTTCAAGTGAGAACAAAGTGTCATCCTGTTGCTGTGCTGTCCAGCGATTTCTCTTTGGCATTGTGGCTCTCTTAGGTGAGCGATGCAAGGTGCTTTTCTTTCCCTCTTTCCTGCAATTGGCTGTGCTCAAAAGCTGCCCCTAGGAGGAAAACGTTTTTTGCCCTTTTGGGCCAAAAGTGGACTCTTAGCACTAAGAATTGGATTTGAACGTAGGCAGCACAGGGACAGACTTGAAGATCTGGGTTCAGGCATACTGTTGCTGTGATCTCGCAGAACTTGCCTCGCTCTATTCTGCGAAATGCAGACAGTCTCTGAGCTGGCTGGATCTGTGTGAACATCCCAACATGGGTCACCAAAAGCCACTGTTACAAGTTTCGCTGAAGACATGCTTTGCCTGTACTGTTAATTACGTTAACATCTTCATTTCACTTACAGGAATTTAGTTTAGAAGGAAACGCTTTATCAGACCCAAAATAGAAAATCAGCTTTATTTGCTGTAAATAGAAAGCAGCCATAGAGATAAATAAAAATAACACCAAGCTGTTACATTCTAACCAGATGTCAATACTCAGAGCATGTCCCCTGCCTCTTCATGTCCCAGGAAGACAAACATGTGCTGGTAGGGTCTCCCTATCTCCTCTCTGGGAGTTGGAAATATCGAAAGAATTTAAACTGAATCCCAAGCTATAGGAATTCATCCACTTAGTACAAATTACATTCCATGTTTTTGGAAACAAAGATAGAAGGGAAACAAATTGCTTACTATTTTTATTAGCGTTATACTTAATCCAGGTTGCATCTCCTTTACTCTAGCTCCTTCTGAACTTAATGAATAGCAAGACAACAGCAAGAGAAGCTAACTAACAAACTCCTTTCCACTGGGCACTTGGTTAAGTGCTTTGCATGGATTTTCTCATGAACACCTTTACTGCAAGTACCAAAACTACATCCCACTAAAAATGAGCAAACCTCAGCAGAGAAAACATCTGGTGACGGACCTGACAAGTATGGATGTGGAACGGAGGCCCGGGCCTCCCGATTCCGTAGTCCACCATCCTCAACACTCCCAATGGCCTTCAATGGGAGGATGCACTGAAGTACTGGGCTGTGGTAGGAGAGAGCAGGGGACAAGCTCTTTGTTCCCATGGCCCACGTCCCTCCCCTATCACCTAGGGACCCAGAGCTGTGCCTGCTCTGGTCTGAGCTCTGCCATTCACTTGCTCTATTGTTTTCTTCCCTGGGCATCGTTTCCATAATGAAATCAAATGATGGAGGTATTCTGGTCCAGGGTTGAGCAGCAGGAAGGCTCTCTAGCACTCGGAGCCTGGGGTTACCGAGCAGCCAGCAGCAGACTGAGGCAAATGGTTGAACCCTGAATATTGCAAACCTTCATCAAGGCCCCCTGCAGAAGGCAATCTGAATTCTCCAGACTTCTTGGTTGAACTTAAACTATTTGGATGCAAGCCTGATTTCCTTAGTATCTGCTTGCCACTATGGGCACTTTACAGTTGATCTGCCCTTTCACAAGTTCTCAGAACCTCACAACAGCTGGTGTTGTGATTACTGATTCATTTTTATAGACAAGACTTGGTCACAGCAAGTGACTTGCCCAAGGAAATGTGACAAATGGATGGAAACACAAAGGTCCTCCTATCCTGGCACAGTGATTTTTTTTCCCCTCCTACGTAAATTATGGTTTATATAAATGATGCATTTATGTAGTCGATTCCCACTATAAAAAGAAGCCCCATAACACTGATAAGGTAAATACTCTTGACCCCAGCTCAGTGCCACTCCGTTCCCAAGGTGGGTGGGGGTGGGGACTTATCACTTGGCATATGTAGTTCAGTAATTTGTGGTTGTGCGCTGTTGTTTACGACTACAGTGATGCTGTATGTGATCCGCTATTTGCCTCTCAACGGTCAACGCTGCGCATCACTTCACACCAATACACATGTGTTTCAGGCTGCCAGTCTTGCAGAGTGGGAGATTCAGTACCCGACTGCATCCAGCGTCTTCCACGAGGTCAGCTGGACTGGTTTCAGGATGAAGTGGCAGCTGAGACACAGCCTTTGCCCTGTGGGCAAGAGCCAGCCTCACACTGGGGCTCACCTGACTTCCTTCCCCTTGGAGGGATTCTTTGGAGTCAGACTGATAAACACCCGCTTCCAGTAATCCTAAGCACCTGCTTTTGACCAAGGTATCTATCTATACTGCTGAATTGGATATGAACAAGCTTAGGAGGCATGGTAACCAACTCAAGACGCTAGTGTCAAGTGTGGCCTCCTCTCTAAGGCCTGTCTAGGTCTCAAAGATCACTATCCTAGAATATGGTATAAGGGACATTAAGGAAATATTAAGGGAAAAAAACATGAAAATAAACTGACA